CTTTTTTGAAATAATATTTGTGACCCAGACGCTTAAGAGCAGGCATTGGTTTCTTGGCGGCATGTGACTCGGCTCGAAAATACGTAGTCGATTTTTTCTGTATTACTATTTGCAAAATGTAAAACAAAACGAGAACGAAATGAAAAACAATCTAGATCGAACGAAGCAACACCCACAAAAATTGAAAACAAAACAAACAAAAATGGATACAGAAGAAATACTACGGATTCCAATCGAATTAATAACAATATATGAAAAGACAAAAATTAACAAAAAAGCAATAATAATCGTTGAAAAAAAACAAACTCATTCAAACAAACTTTTGTTCTATCTCATTCGTCATAATAATTTTGTTGAATTCATTTTGTCTATACGGTTCTCTTTGTTTTTCGTTCGTTTTTGTTCCGTTTAGTGTTGGTTTTTGATTTGGTTAATAATTTTTACTCCCATTTAAATGCTTGAGTTGTAGACTGTTGATTTGTTTTTCATTTCTTTCAATAAAAATAACGAATCTAAGAATTTCCGACCAAATTTGCAATGAATTGAGTTAGTAGAACTCATACCAATTTTTTATTGGCAAACAAAGAAACAAGTTAGGATAACGTAATTTTGTTCTTAAATTTTGATTTTAAACAAACTGGAATAATGATGAATATTGCGACAAAATGACAAAAAATCAGATGTGATCCAAAATTTGTTTAATTAAAAAAAGAAAAGAAGAGAAATCGAAAGGGAACTGTATTTTTTTATTCAAAAAGCAATTGAAGTAGAAAGCTGAAAATTGAACGTGATTCAAAGAGCAAAAGACACAATTACACATATACACACACTCTCACCACTCACAACCGATTCAAACTCATTGGCTAATACCAGATCAGTCTTGGTCCCGTTTCTCATTCAAAAAGAGAGAGACCATTTACATATCACTAATCTACCCCACCCCCACCTCCATTCATCACAGCGCCACCACCACACCATCTGACACGAATACAACGCATTCGCAAGGAGTGACAATTACAACACAGAGCTCCTGAGAATACGAAATTGTTTTACATACACACATATACACATTCACTCATTCACTCACAATTCGATTGTCTCGAATTTTTACCCTGAATGAATCTGTTTCACTTTCCATAAATCATTCGAATTTGCTTGTAAACAAGGCCATCGATTGTTCGATAAGCATTCATAATGAATTTTTCGTTTCTTATTCTTTCGTGTGTTTTGAAATATACTTTTTATCAAACCAAATACCAATATTTATCGAAGTACGGTTAGCTTGAATATAACCCTTATTAAGTAAACTTATACCATTTTGTTTGCATAAATTCTTCTTTTTTTTTATATATATAAATACATTTTCGTTTGTGTCCTAACGCTAAATTCCTTCAAAGCTCCTTCTCTTCCCACCACATTCATTAATTATCGTTCACTTATATTTTTTTCTTTCGGTTCGGTTGAAAATCAATCCAACCAAAATACAAACAACAAAAAGCATCAACATATATACCATAATAATTGCACTGATTTTTATGTCCATATTGTTAATCTCTTTGAATATAAAACGACATTTAGATTTGTTGTTCTTTTTCTCTTTCACATTCTCTCTCTCTCTCCTCTCTGTCAATATATTCCGAAAAGCCATTTTATTCAAATGCTTCGTATGATTTTCTCATTTCGATTTCCCAGATCCTAGATGATCAATTTATGTTTTCAGGCAATTTTAGAAGTTGTGTTAGAAAAGGAACCTAGATTTTTTTTTTCAATTCTGTTTAGCAGAGATATATTTATTCAAAATTGTGTGAATAAACAAAAAAAAAATACACTGATTAGATAAATATCGAGGCATCCATACACTAGCCAATACGATCCATAGCTTTATGATTAGACGAAATTAATGTATAATCCGATTATTTAAAATCGATATGAAAACACCTGAAAAGGATTCGAGCACAAACTCTGCTAAAATTAATTGGCAGTTTTACCAAAGAAAAAAAATCGTTTCATTTCTTTCAATTTTTTTTTTCCATTTTGATTTGCTTTCAATTCTACATGCACACTTTCACAAACAAAAACATCAATCGAAAAAATAAACAAACGGAAACACCATATCGTCCGTCTCATGTTTGCTATTTTTCCTGTGTTTTTTTTTTCATTCTGTCTCTCCTGTTACCATCACACATATACACACACATACACTTTTTTTACTATCTCCATTAACAACTAGTTAACAAATTTATCAAACTTATTACCTTTTATATACATTTTGGACCGAAAGTGTAGTGAAGTTATTAAATATGATTTCATTTTTTAAATTCATTGCTTGCACAGCCTGAATGCCGCAGCCACGCATCTTAGAAGCGATAATTTACTTTTTTAACTTGTTATTTATTTTCCTATTGGACATAACAACCATTTAATCAATAATCATTTGTCTCGTTAATTTTTGTTCTTCTTCTTTTTTACTTCATGACAATCAAGATATATTTTTAAACGATTCGGATACAATATGAAATAAACAATAAATATGTATTACTAACAACAACCAACCCAACCCAACGAACCAACCAATCAACCAACAAATTAACGGTACCTTTGTACATTATACTCAGTGGATTGTAAATATAGACTAAGCGTTGAATTTTCCGCGAATATGTAGAGGGCGATTATGTTATGTTTAGTGACATAAAACGTGAAATAAAACATGAATATATATCACGAATAATCTATGTAGCGAAATTGTTCGAAAAGTGTTATCAAACACGGGAATTTATCGATTGTCGATTCGAAAATGAAATATTGAGTTGAACAGTAAATTGCCTAAAAATATTTTTTGTACAATTTGTTCTTTTTTTCTGTTCCACTACAACATTAAAACGTAAGATGAAAGTGAGTTTTGAGTAGCACAAGTGTCCCAAGAAATCGACGCCATGATCAATTTCGATGGGTTTTAACTGTGGCACAAATGGTTCACAAAACTTTTTTTTTTAAATATGATTTTTGTGAATATTTTTCGAAATGAATTACCGAGCGCGGTAGTTGCGCAGCAAAAAAGAAGAGTTACAAAATTAATCGAGCTTTTTCAAGTAATTGTTCACAAGTTCATATTGCACATCGAAGCAATGAGAGAGATATAATAGGTGTATACATGTCTGGTGAATCAGAATGCACCTAATAATCGAGGGTAATAGAGCGAAAATGAATGTGCTTGCGAACGAACGAACGAGTGAGATAGAGAAGACTCAGTGCGTATAGTATATAACGTATGTCCCCTGCACCACACATATTATGCAGTTGCCAATATTATTTATTGCAATATTCGGTGTAATTGTGACCCATAAAGAAATAAAGAAAAAAAAATAATTGGAAAAATGAACATGATGAATGAGTGAGTAAATGAAAATATATAGCGTCAATTATTCAGATGAAAGTGACCTCACAATAGACATTATGTAATGTCTCACTACTACTTTGGTACTTTGTTTTATATCTCTCGTTTCGCTACTTCTTATTTTTTTCTCATTTTGATTTATTGTCCTTTTTTATCGACAATTTCCGAATAATTAACCTTTGTCCCTTTTTTTTGTCTCCGACATCATATGTTCCTTGCGTTTTGGTTCCATTTTTTTTTCTTGCGTGCCTCCTTTTTCTGATGAGATTTTGTAGTACCCGCTCCATTAATGAGAAAATAATGCTGGTTTCGGCGCAACAATGAAACGGTAACATTTCCCAAGCATTCGAAATCGATAATTGTGCGATTGTCATTCTGTACACAGACTATCTGCAACGGGAGTGCTGATTTTCGACTAGTGATAAGGAAAAAGGGTCGAAAAAAAAACCAGCAAAACCGCATTTTTAACAGACACCAATTCTTTTTTCTCAACTAAATAAATTTACCTGTAGCATAACATCGAAAATTGAGTATAAAATATTTACCATTATGTGTATTAGTTTATAGGTTTGTTATTAATGTAATGCATAAGAATGATACAATCAAATCATTAAGTCATGGAATTTTTTTTAATGAACTTAATATAAACGGTTGAACATACACCATACTTAGCAAAAGAATTGCCGGTGTAAAAATTAATGTAAAATAATAATAGGACAACAATAAGAAAAGCGAATCACTGATTTCCGTTCAAGAGTACTTCGTAAAATGGGGGAAAAATCAAGAACGAAATGTTAGTGATGTTAAAGTGAACTTAGAGAACTAATATGTCTTGCAAATAACCAAGTATTCGTTCAAAAAAAAAACCAACCATATATTTAATACAATAGAAAACAATTGACAATCAAACCGAAAATAAAAAGAAAAACAACAATAAACCACCACCATCACAACAACAACTACACGCATAAGAATCAAACCACAACATCTTCCATACCCATTGAATGTTCAAATGAATAACCACCAGGTTGTAGGTTGAATATTCACCAACTAAACTGTACTGTGTATGGACGATGTAGACTCTGCTTTTAAGCCATCATCATAACACTGTGATCGATCCTTTGAATGAACAATGTTCTAACAAATTTATCTCCTTATGATTTTGTTTTGGAACAACAACCACAACAACAACAATTACTGAAAACGGCAAATTATTACTTTTCTGTTCATCAATTTACACCGAACAAATCACAACGAACATACAGAAATTTCGTTTGTTATGCATTTGATTTCTGTTTTTCACATTGGTCATGCATTTAAAACTGGATTTTTTTCCCGTTGTTTCGTGTTGATTTGAATTTTGTTATTTTTGTTACTGTTTCCGTTTTTTTAAAATTTATATACATATATCTCGTTTATTTTGCAAGCAATCGCAGCAGCAACAAGCAAATAAACAAAAACATATTCTTGATTAATCGATGAAAATTGTTACTAAATTATGCTTTAATCTCTTTCAATTAAACAAACCAACCAAGCAAAAAAAAATCAAAAATTAATCATTATCTCCTCATCCTGTTAATGTGTTGCTCTCGTGTGTGTGTCTCAGGCAATATTCGCAAGTTGTATACCAGAAATAATTGACTTGATCGGAACAAGACCCAAATATGGGGGAACATTGAAGAACGAAAAAGGTCGAAGGTGAGAGCAAAGCCAAAATTTGAAAAAAACCCAGCAAACAAAAAAAATCAAATCTAATCAATAAAACAAACAAACAGACAAAAAAAAATGCTCATTTAATCCAAAACAAACACATCATACTTACAATCAACCCCATCATTACAGTTACCTCTTTTTAGTTTGGTTTTATTTTTCTCGTTTTGGTCGTTCATTTCATGGTTTTTGGTTATTTCCTATAGAATACAAAACAAATCCATCATTTTCATGGCTTATCACATGGGTTTCGTTAAAGTCAATAATGCAATTTTTCATATTCCTTGGCACCTCGGTCGATGTCGTAATAATCAAACCAAGCCAAGCTAATGTCTAATGAGATTGCACTGGGCTTCAAATCAAGAGCTTTTTCCGTACACATTTACGAATTGTTCAAACATGAACAAAAAAAAAGAACACGCGAGAACAAATCGTAAATGTCGTCCAACGAACTCGAAGAATTGTTGCAAAATTGTATATTGACTTTGGCAAATCCGCAAAAAAAAACTACAAAACAACATTCTATACATTCAAACACACGCACAAATGTAAACATACACGAAAAATCGACTGCTTTGCATACATATTATTCGGTTCAAGTTATCCACATACATACACAAAAGAAAAAACATTTCATACAAAAGAGCTGTAGTGAAAAAAAAGAACGAGAAGAAAAAATCAAACTGGCAACAATGGTCGAAGCAAGTGAAAAGAATGAATTATGCAAAAAATAGAAACAAAACGATATTTAAACAACAAAAACAACAAACAAACAAAACCGAATAGTTCATGTTCTGTGAAGAAGCATTTCTTGTTTGTGAACCACCGTATATTGGATTTAAGTGTGTTATGTAAACGTTTCTGTTGTTCTTTTGTCTTCATTTTGAGATTTTTGTTTTGTTTTCATTTTTGATTTTTGTGTTTTTTGTCATGCCGATTGATTTTTTTTATCTCAAATAATTGGATGTTTTGACATTTTTGTGTTGTGTTCTTTCCACCTACCCTGAAAATAAACTATTATACAATCTTTTTTTTCCTGTCTCTCTTTCTCTTTGACGAAAAAAAAAACAAACAAATGAAATCAATCAATTTCATTGCCGAAATTCATTTTATTTATATCGTGCTTTATCTTTAGTTATCGAAAAATTCCGACTCTTTTGTTATATGTGCGAACGATTGTGCGTGGCGTGCGCGATCGAGCGCAACAGAGGCCAGATACTGATTATCTGAATTCATTCGGTTCGACGACATAAACAAAAGTGGTGGAAGTTTTCAATTTTATAAATTCAATGACAAAAATGCAGTTTACCAAGTGTATGTACACTAGGGTGTTTTTCATAACCTGAAAAAAAAAGAAATGGTAGATTTTAAATTAAAGAGGAAAAAATTCTGTATCAATTAATGGTGTTCACACAACGGAGCAATCGATATTCACACTTCCCGGCACAAAAAAGAATGTTTTTTTTTTTTCATTCAAATGTCTAAATAACTCTCGCTCCGAAGCGTTGAACAAATTCTACTCACCGTGATATGATGCACATTGAACAGGCCATATCCAAGAAATGCGATGGCGTGATGTCAATTCGATATTATCAAACCGGAAAATGAACATGACGTCTATAAAACCACTCATGTACTGTGGCACATAAAGCTGTGACACCTTATGCACCTAAAATAGCCCACTAAGTGCAAGGCTTGAAAACTCTAATAAACTATTAGAAAATATTTGTTAAAAAAAACTTTAATGCTAAACGCTGGATTTTGAATTATGGATTGAGTGGAACGCCGTCGTCATCTGGTTGTCGCAGCAACGATGGATGTATCGGAATGTCAAGCAGCATGCAAAGACCTAAGTAACAAGCACATAAATAACAGTTAATTTGAACAAAAACCAAATCAATTCTACTTTTCAAATGAAATATTAATAGATAATGAACCTTTGTACATGATCAGTTTGGCTGCTGATATGTCTCGATGCCAAAGTGGTTTGAGCAACTTGCGTGATTGTACAGCGTTTTCAGCAGCATTTGGTTGCCAGGTTTTGAAGAAGCGTTGCTTCTTTGACACCATACGTCCTGAATTCTGTCGGGATGATCTTTCGTAGTCCCAGTTTTACTGTTGTAAACCTCTCATCGCTTCCATTTCCACGAGCTCCACAGGCTCCACGAGCCATGATGAATAACTATTAAAGAGAAAAAAAAAATTAATTTAATTGGTTAAAAACGACGTACACAGTACAAAATACAGTTAATAAATTATTTACGGACTTTCTGATAAACAAAAATTAGACAGTTTTTAGCTTCGGTAAGTGTGAATATCATTCGTTATGTTGTGTGAACACTATTAATTGGTACAGAATTCTTTTCTATTTGATTTAAAATCTACCATTTCTCTTGTTCACGTTATGAAAAACACCCTAATTGTACACTGTATAGAGATGGTTTTAGCCGCTTTCTGAACAACCCGGCGACAGGTTGTTGGCAATGCTTAATTTTACAGCATTTAATGGATACATTGCCTCCCTGCCTTTGCAATATACCATGATTACAATCATTGTAATTCATCGAAACGAAGTCAAAGTGTTTCGGTCGCTCCTCCACTTTCACACAGACTCTCTCTCTCTCTCTCTCTCTCTCTCTCTCTCTCTCTCTCTCTCTC